GCTTCCTCTCATCTGACAAAGACTGGAACTTCAGTCTCACAAAATACTCTGCAAAGGCCGTCACTGATTAGCTACATGTGTTTCTGGTTTATGTCCATAAATAAGAGTCCAGCTGTTTTCCACACGTCAGAACCTCCCCCACTTTTGTACTTGTTTTTAGAGTGTGTGTGTGTGTGTGTGTTACCTTTGATCTGCTCCTCTGACTCAACATCACAATTCAGGAACAAAGTTCTTTCCCGTCCGTACTGTTTCTCAAGGACTTCCATTAAACTCTTTCCTGCAGTTTCATTCACATCCAGGAGGGCTACCTGTACAGGGACATGGCCATCAGACATACACTCAGTAGTCACTTTATTAGGTACTTTATTAGGTCTACCTAATGCAGTCTAATACAGCGGCCCTGCAATACTTTGATGAAATCTTCGGGTTATGGTGAAACCATTGTTTCAGTACAAGTGTCCCATTAAGAAGCTCACTGACAAAAACTCAGTGACGAAAAAACAAAGTGCAAAGTGATCTCAGCACCGTAAGAACTGGTCCGACATACATAGATTAATAAACAAATTCAACCTTTTGAATAAACTTTGAATAAACTTAACTATAAAATGTCCTAGAAGAGAGTATATGTGTCTTCAAAACAATATTGAATAAGACATTGAGCTACATTGTGAAAAGAAACTTGTTCCTCAACAAGTTGAAATATTTCTGTATATCTGTAATATCTTGTAAAAAACAGTTTGTAAGCATTTTGTAAGAAAAAAAAACTCAGTTCCAGATAAAAATGCCTTTTTTCCCACTAAGTCATCATTTTAGAAGCTGAAAAATAAGTATACTTTAAGTCCAGTACTCTACTCTGCCACTGTTTGTGTAAGTTTACTCGTGTGCTGCAGGGATGAATAATAAACCTGTGTTGGGTTTGGTAGCCCATCCATCTCACTATGCTCCAAAACTTTTACCTTGCCGCCGTTCTGCAGGAGTATCTCCGTTATTGCTCTTCCTATTCCCATTGCTGCTCCAGTCACTACTGCGGTTTTACCGTTTAAAGCCATTTTAGCTGTTCAGTCGGAGGAGAGGAGGCTGTAGGATCTTTAAAAAACATAAACCCGAGGAGACTCCGAGTGATTTTATACTGACACCGCCCACCAGGATAGCTTACCGGATGAGTCCAAACATGCGGAAAATTAGGACAAATAATCAATAACGGCGACATGCTTAATTGCATTCAGGTTTAATTTTTAAAGAGACAGTGAGCAAAAAGTTATTTTATTTTTGTTTTAGGAAAAAGTGGAACTGACTGTTTTGAATTGAGTAGAAAATGTTTTTTTCATGTTAGTGGTGAAATAATAATTTTGTGTAAAAGATTAACACACAGGTGTAATATTTGTCTGTAAAAAAACTTACATAAATAGGCCTACTAATTTATACTCACCAATCCACTGTATAAAGTACAAGGGAAGTTTACACGTGACTTGATTGGGCGATCTGAGTTCAAAACCCTGCATGACCCGAAACAGATTTACGTTCAAAAACGTTGCGATTTAATACATTTCTCCTTGATATAACACGAAGGTGTGTGCTGTAAAGTAACACAGTACATTTTTTGCTTCCCTAAGACACCCCCTTCCAATCGGCTGATGTGCTTTTTGTCAATAAAGAAAACCCAAATCACCTCCTTTGACCTACTATTGTCTTCCCTAAAACTCCCTGATAGGGCGGTATGTGAGTTTATTTGTGGATTATATGAATGCCGAATTTATTAGTGTCTCCTCACATCTCCGAGGACCACTTAATTATTATCTAAATATTTGGTTTCTCTGTTTATATATAAGGCAGCAAAAAAACTGCTACATTTTTTAATGGAGTTTGGAACGACTGTACCGAGAAGAAACGTTTCCCGAGCACAAACCGTGCTATTTAGAGATACGTGTTAAATATGTGCCCACTAGATGGAGGCACAGTGCTGTGTGACTTGATAGCGCAAATTCATGGCGATTCATTGTAATGAATAGGACAATTACTACTAATGAATTTTGTTGTTAGTACAACTAATTATTTTTTTTTTTAAGTAATCTATATATATGTGTGTGTGTGTGTGTGTGTGTGCATCCATTACAAGGTGGTTTCTGGGGAGTGAGTTTGACAATCAGCACTATCAGCTGGTCTCAGGTCTGGCCCACCCTGTCCTGATAGCCCAGCCCACTCTGATTGGGAGAAACTGACACTATACTGGTGTTTCACATTGGTCTTTACTCAAATAATGTTGGGAATTGAGTTTTATTGACTTGAAACAAGCTGCAGGAGCTGAATCAAACACTAAAGATGAGTTATGATTAGTTTGTAGCTGAATGTAGGTAAAACCCAAAACCAGGGTAACAAAATGCTTTACAGTCACAAAACATATTGAATATATATTTTAAAGCCTGTATTAAAGAAGCTTAGTGGAACTGTATGGTCTCAACAATTTACTGATTAATGTGGGGCCTTAACAGTAATTAGAAGGGGTTTTAATTCAATCATAAATTTTGTGTAGTGATTTAGAAACACTACTAGAGTAACGTTAATTGTGTTGCAGCTTCTTGGCTTAAATAAGAGTAGGATATGATAGATAGCATATGTCAGAAGAGGGGTGGTAGCAGTTTCATTAATAAATACAATACAATATTGATAAACTAGTTTTAAATCGGCAATAATCACTTTGTTGAGGCAGCAGCAGGAAGATGACGCCATAAACTCAACTGTTGGTTCTCAGAAGGAGTGACGATTACTCTACTTACATTATATGACAGATACGATGCAACATATTTTATAGGCTAATTAATAAACATGATCTAATTGAGAGCATTTGTTCATTTTTTTTATTGATTTCTCATTTATATGGTACTTTTCAGTACAAAAATCTACTACTTCTGTGCCTCTATAGCAGGTTTAGTGCGGATGTGTTCCCTCAGTACACATACAGTAAAATATATTTAAGTGTATAAATCACTCTTTTAAAGGGGAACCCAGGATGTGTGTGTGTTCAGGACGGTTGTTGCTTAAAGGGTTTTAATAAGAATACCTGACAAGACTGTGCATGCGGCTGTAACTGCAGTTCACAGATAGAAATACTATGTGGGAGTCTGCCTGAAGAGTGAAGAGTCACAACCACTTTAAATGTGCCTAAAACTGTTGTAACAGAAGCGACAGAACAGTCAACACTATTTTTGTTCAAGGTCAGAAGTCAACAGGCTAGCTAAGAGGACCACCCTCGAATTCAATCAATAAATAAATGATTTTTTTGTGGAAAGTTAAAGCTGTGGCCTTGACCTCACTTTATGGTAGGATGGGAACCTTTCAAATATCATAAATATGAGATGATTTGACTTTTAAAACAGACTGAACAATGGCTGAATAATGGCAAGATAAGAAGGTTCATACAATAAATAATAATAATAAAAAAGAATCATTTAATTTATCTATAAAACAAGAAAAGGCAAAACAAACCAAAATAAGGGAAATAAGTGAAATAACTTATCTACATTTGAAATAATAGAAATAAAATGACCAAAATAAATAACAGCAAGTTAAAATCAATTAGAAAAGGAATAATAACAGCAATAATAATATTTAATATTTAAAGTAATAATTAAAACATCTATGTGAGATTTATCAATATTTCCTTTTACTGAAAGAAACTTTTATGTTGGTGGGGAGAATATTCCAGGTAGAAGAAGCTCTATATAATTCATTCAATGTATGCATTATGCCAATAACAAAAAACAGAATATATGAAAAAAGAAGTGTAGTATTTTATTACAAACAACATTTTGCATGAATCAGATAGATTTTAATGTAGCCTCCACAGTTAGCCACAATAATTATTGATCATTTAGGTCAGGGCAGGTCACAGTGTCGTATTCATGAGCACATTTGTTTCCTGTATGTGTAAGAAAAGATTGTCTCTCAATGTTTGGTACGACTCTAAACAAATATACTGTCTCTTTAAAATCAGTGTCTGTGAAGCATTGAACTAAAACTCAAAGATATCTGTGTGTAGTTACACTCAATTACATTATCTTATAGCTATAGAAACAGGTTGCTTTCCTGAAGAGGATCAATTAGTCAATTTCATGTTTAATATAATGATTTAAGGGTGACGCTTTTTAGCAAAATGTCCTTCTAGATGGATGATTCTAAAAATATATATAAAAAGCTTTAAAGATTTCATTTATAGAGATTGGAACACACAGTTCCTTGTTTGCAATGTAATATTTAAGAAGTTATATTCATGTCTGACACATTTCACCACTGCAACAGGTGTTTTTGGGGGCGCCCGGTTAGCTTACCTGGTAGAGCTGGCAACCATGTACCGAGTCGCTGCACAGGCCCAGGGTTCAAATCCGACCTGTGGCCCTTTGCTGCGTGTCATCCCCTCTCTCTCTACCCCCCCTTCCTGTCTATCTTCAGCTGTTACTATCAATAAAAGGCCAAAAAACATTTAAAGAAAAAAAAGCAACAGGTGTTTTTGGTGTCTTATAAATCCATGTGGGCAGGGAACTTGTATGTGCACTAAAACACTTGTTTTATTCTGCTGTGGAGCTGTGTACAGGCCTCTGTGTCCAAAAGTGCCACTAGAGGGCGTGTAGAGTTGCCACATGGTGGCACATTGCTGTTTCAGTCCATTACATCATAGTTCTAGAGAAAGTCCAAACACATGGACACAAAAAGAGAGACTTCCTGTTCCATCCTGTGATCGATGCCATAAGTACTTTTTCTGTTTTTTTGCTTTTCTTTGGATGGACATGATTTGACCACGTTTGTAATGCTGTTGCCTTCATCTTGTAGCCAGTGATGATGTCATTATGCAGCAGGTAAACTATTGGCAGCCATTATGAAAACAGCAACTGATGCGTAGAAAACAGTGAATTTTCAGTTTATCAACTTATATTTCCTTCAAATGGTAATTTGTCTTTCCTGAAAAATGAATAAATGTGTGTATTATCATTATCACAGTATATAAAAAGTCTGGACCATTGCCTTTATGTGATATATATAGGCTAAATATGCCATACTACTATAGTATAGTATATATACTACAAGTATGTACCATTCATTGTTTTATCTTAATCCTGTCCTGTTTTAACATTTTTAAAAGCCATTTGCCACTGATAATATTTCTTCCATTTGTTGTACACCTCTTAAAGCACATAATATACATTACTGTTATTATTATAAATCACAAAAGTAAGTGAGGAGGGTAAGAAACAAATACAACAAAAGGGCCAAATTAGATACACAATAACTAAAACAGACTAAATAAATCCAAAAACATTAAATAGCATAATTACTATAGTAATGTTATAGTACAGCTGACTAAGAATCAAATGCCTGAAAATTGTTTGATTGACACTGAAAATTATTTCTAGTCAGCAGCTTCCAACGAATTCAACAGTTACTAATCAGCTCATGTCCAATCATTTAAATTGAAATATCCTATAAAAACTACTTTTTCTGATGAGCATTGTACCTGACTTTTAGAGATTATAGATGCACTTTAAACCAACTCCAAACCAGTTTCCCCACTCTGTTGATGGGATATATAGCGAAAAAGACAACATATATAGTTCATAAAGGGCATATGAATCTAACTGGTACAAACGGCTATGAAAAAAGTCTCTTCTTCCAACTCTGTACACCCACAAACCGGGTCCACAAAGGCCCCCGAGCTCGTCTTGCTTACGGGGCAAATCCACCATTTAATGGCTTTCAACTGTGATTTGCTGACCAGCTGCTGACTTGTGTTTTTATCCCAGTGGCCCATTGCCGTTTCACTGGTGATTACACTGCTAAAGAGCTCCAGAGAGCTGGACAATGCCAGAGAGCTTTACATGTCACCAGTGTCATCGGCTGCAAAGAATAGGACGTCGCCATTGAACGAAATATCAGCCTGTTTACAGTGAGGGGCCACGATGGGCGGACAGAGGGAGGGGGAGCGTGGGCGTGAGGATGTGTATGTGTCTGTGTGTGTGTGTGTGTGTACATGTCAATACCTACCAGGAGACTGTGACTATGAATGCAAAGGCTTTGGTGTGTGTATGTATAGAGCCTATGTGGTCTGAGGGGTGTAAACAACTTAACTTAAACAGAG